TTGCTACCATATCAACGCTGGAGTTGACCAGTCCTCACTTTCCCGTTTTGATAGAGTCCCCAAATCGTTTATGCGTGCCTGGGATGGAATACATCTTCTCTATTCTGCAGCTTTTTGTTCCTCCACACGCGCAATACTGAAAGCCTATTGCTATTTTATCACTATTTTCATGGCAAATGTTCAAAGGAGGTCCATTTTTAATTTTCACCAATTCCGCCCTTTACGGCTAGGACACATCAAGCTACTTCTACCAAATCGGATTATCCTCATTTACATAACGTTCCAAATGTAACTTAACAGTTTTCCAGACTCATTGAACTGTGGTTAATCGAACGTCGAGGATTTTTGGTGAGAGCTTTGTTGGTGGGTAATTGAATGACAAAATGCAAAAAATCCTGTCACACCTCGAAAGGAATTCTTCGAATTGAATAAAATTTTTGTTTATGGGATGATATACATATATATATATATATATATATATATATATATATATATATATATATATATATATATATATATATATATGGGGGAAGAAATATAACAAACGTCAATTATAATTATACATCGAGAGAAACGCTGAAGATTCAGGGACGCTTCACTTCCAATTTTTAAAACTCTGGCCTCCGATATCTCCAGCGGCACAAGATAATCGTTCTTATTCTTCTTGTCACCGCTCAGAAGGGGACAGAGCGTGCGATGGCCTTTGACATTTATATTGGGAGAACATCCAATCTAAGAGTGAAATAAATATTGAGTTTATATTTAATTTGAATAAAATGTTTATTTCATATTTCATCTATTTTTACATATTTAAAATATCTTCTTACATTTCAGAGTATTAGGGCCTATAGGCTCCCTATTTGAGTATAAGTGGCATGCAATCAAGGAGGTGGCCCCGGGCATCATCAAACATCACCAAACTACTGCTGTTGATTCTGTTCTTATCGCTATTGTTTTGAATATCTCACAATGTAATAGCAATTGTTTCAAGAAAGATGATATTCTATATTAATCTAGACATAAATTTACGGTGGAAAATCAGAAATTTCTAGATTTAAAATTTTTTAGATGTTTTTATATATTACTCTTTTAGTTAGGGCTGCAATCTTTTTTTATTTTAATTAATTTTTTTTTTTAATTATTTGAAGAATTACTACGACGGACGATTAATGCATAGTGTATTGTTTATCCTTTTGTGTTCATATATTCTTTTTTTTAAATTCTTAGATGCTACTAGTCCTGTGTATGACGATAAACAACATCTGGCAGCAATCGAGAAATTGAAGATTTTAAGGAATGTAGAAACACCTCTTAATTGCTCTTTGTTTCCCGGTTCATCCTGATCCCGCGTTGGTCGATTTAGGCTCCCAGCTATGGGGAAATAGTGAACCCCCAAAGAAAACACTATGAAAGTATAAAAATAGATTTTTATAGTAAAAATACCAGCAGTAAATTATTATATAAAAAATTACCAACAATATTTATTTATAATAAAATTACCAAAAATATATTTTATCTGTAGTTGAAGGCGTACAATTGCGTTCAATTGAAGACATAAAATCGTGTTCAAATTATTTAGATTTTGGCATTAAATAGCCAATAGAGGTTAGCAAGTCTTCAGCAACAACGTGGTTCAGTTCAGAATTCTCAGATCACTATACAAGATCAACCAAATCGTTAAACAAGATCAACCAAATTGTTAAACACGACCAATCAAATCGTTAAGCAAGATCACTTATATCGTTAAAGAAGATCAACCAAATCGTTAAACAAGATCAATCAAATCGTTAAACAAGACGAATCAAATCGATGAAAAAGATCAATCAAATCGTTAAACAAGATCAATCAAATCGTTAAACAAGACCAATCAAATCGTTAAAGGAGATCAACCAAATCATTAAACAAGATCAACCAAATCGTTAAACAAGATCAATCAAATCGTTAAACAAGATCAACCAAATCGTTAAACAAGACCAATTAAATCGTTAAACAAGATCACTTAAATCGTTAAAGGAGATCAACCAAATCGTTAAACAAGATCAATCAAAAGGTTAAACAAGGTCAACCAAATCGTTAAACAAGATCAATCAAATCCTTAAACAAGATCAACCAAATCATTAAACAAGATCAATCAAATCGTTAAACAAGATAAACCAAATCGTTAAACAAGACCAATCAAATCGTTAAACAAGATCAACCAAATCGTTAAAGGAGATCAACTAAATCGTTAAACAAGATCATTCAAATCGTTAAACAAGATCAACCAAATCATTAAACAAGATCAATCAAATCGTTAAACAATATCAACCAAACCATCTAAACTTATTTATGCATTTCTCAGATCTCTTATTTATGCATTTCTCAGATCGTTAAACAAGATCAACCAAATCGTTAAACAAGACCAATCAAATCGTTAAGCAAGATCACTTAAATCGTTAAAGAAGATCAACCAAATCGTTAAACAAGATCAATCAAATCGATGAAAAAGATCAATCAAAGCGATGAAAAAGATCAATCAAATCGATAAAAAAGATCAATCAAATCGTTAATCAAGACCAATCAAATCGTTAAACAAGATAAATCAAATCGTTAAACAAGATCAATCAAATCGTTAAACAAGATCAACTAAATCGTTAAACAAGATAAATCAAATCGTTAAACAAGATCAATCAAATCGTTAAACAAGATCAACCAAATCATTAAACAAGAACAATCAAATCGTTAAACAATATTAACCAAACCATCTAAACTTACATCTTCCATTTATGCATTTCTTGTGAAACATTACAATCTATAGCAGCGTTTCTCAAATTTTGTACGCTTATAGAACCCTTGAAATAGTTTTCATGTCTCAGGAAACCCCTGCATAAAAAAATATTATATACCCTTATCAATATCCATCTCTTTCATATTTTTTATTGTAGTTCACTTGGAAAGCATAATATATGGACACTATGCATGCGTTTTGTAATCGAGTGACTCACTCAATGATAAATAAATCCGCCATGTCTTGTCAACTAACCAATGGAGGTGACTTCACCTTGACGCCATATAGACATTATTAAATATATTCCTTATGATTATTATAATTCTATATAATATAACATGTTGAAACCTTTATTATAATAATCAAGGATTTTTAACAATATGCCGTACGTGTACAGTAAAATTACAAATATAAAATTAAACAAAAATGATTCGAAAAAGCATGAGCATTTCTATCAGTTTTCACCTCTTGCGGATCCTAGGCTTTCGGAGAGAACCGTTTAAAAAAAAAAAACTAGTCTATAGTGTAACTCCATGATTCAGGTTTTAGGCTCTGATTATTTTGTTTTGCATTAATTAAATCTCTTATTGCTTTTTTTTAAGTAGTTGTAATAAAATTTATATTAAGGTGAGATAAATTATTTTCAGTGGTAGTTGTTATTGAGTTGACTGGTAGCATAATATGTCTAGTTTTATCAAGATAACTTATTTATTTTTCTAATTTTATGAAACCTATGAGCTTTTCTTTTCGAATGAAACAATAAGGATTTTGAAGGGGGTTAAAAGTAATTTTAATCTATTTCTATTCATCAAAGTAATAATAAATATTTAGGTCTACAAACTCTAATTAAGTTTTTTCTCATCCAAAATATCAAAGAAAGGCCCGTAGAAAAATCGACTTATCTACAGATACATTTCGCCTTTTAAGTTTTTTTTTCTGTTATTTTGTTTTTACGAAGCACCTACACGGGTTCAGTTTATTGACGCGTTGTCACGGATCAAGCATCAAGTTGGTTCTGTGAATCATTCTTCTGAGTCGTGAATTTGATCCACACCCGTTATTCCATTCTTGTCATCCGAACTAAGCTAAGCTTTGTAAGTATCTTTAGTACAGGTTTCCGCTGATATCTGAAATGACGTAAAGCCAATAAGTGATTATCATTAATTCATGGTAATTTTTTTTTTTTTGGAGGTTATCATAGCAAAAGCGCCTTCCAGAAATTAAGTAAAATATCAAGAAACAGGAAGATTTCTTTGAAAAGGAAGATAACAATACTCAATTATTATATAACATCAGTCCTCGAGTATGTTGAACAATTTTTTTCAGATATGAAGAAGAGATACAAGACAAAAAGAGTATTTAGTATGACGATGAACTACAACTGGCAACAAAGCCTTTGATCGTAAGATTGGAGGTTTTGAGGATCGTTTTCCCAGATCCACCTTGACCCAGGGTGATAACATCTGTTAAGGTTCCAACTATTGTTAAATAGTAAACCTGCCAAACAAAAATAAAACACTATGAATGTATAAAAATACATTTTTATAGCAAAAATACCAACAATACATTTTCGTAGAAAAATTTACCAACAATACGTTTTTCACTAAAGAAAAAGAAATATACAAGAAAACCTTTTTCTGTTAAAGAAATTACGTATGCTTCCAAGAAAATTAAGGTTCGGCATTAAATGACCCATAAAGTGTTTATGCGCCGTTAAACAAACAAACACGGTAACAGAGATGTGGTTTCATAGAAGAATGCTGAGATTACCATGGGCAGAAGTTTTATGGAAAATCGTAAAGAAAAGGCCGCTTTTCCTAAAGGTCAGAGAAAGGAAGTTAAAATTTCTGCGACACATAACGAGGAGAGAAGGCTTGGAAAATCTGAAACACACAGGTCATATTAAAGGCAAGTATAATGTATCATATAACTGGGAGGGATTGTAAGAGGACAAATATTTCTTAGCGATACATAAGATAGGAAGTTGTGGAGAACTATGATTGCCCACGTCCTACTGTTGCTGATGTGGAAAGCATCAAATACGATAGTATACTTAATTGCTTGGCCTGAAACATCCCGCATACCTGTCCTAAGCCGACATGACCTTTCAAATTTGAAGACATACTTTTCTGAAATAATTACAATATTAAAAAAAACGCAAAATTATTTTTTGCTCTGGGAACGCTCAACACCTTTCCACTTAAAAGTAATTCTAATCGCTTCTTCGCTTTACGCTTTTACAGCTTGCGAAAGAGGGGAACGCCATACTTTTCGAATAGCGGAGTCAATACGTAAGAGAATGTGTGTAGGAGGGGCTAGATTTGACACGTCTTGATTGACTTTCTCAGACATATTTCTCTCTGCATCTTTACCCCCGCACTTCGACATCTATCACCTCGGTATTCCTCTCGAAGCACGGATTATCTTTTCGCCTCTAGCGACGACCCGATAATAGCAGTTATGACAAGAGTGAAGTCCCTTTGACATCTAGAAGACCAAACCCCTTGCTGTGTCTCCGATGGGTTCAAGATGCACTCCCAAGCAGATATCACGAATCAGTGTAACGTAGCGCTGTCATCGGGCCTTGGTTACGATGGTGTCTCTTCATTGGAGGCCAACCCAGAATGTCTAGTGTCGTCTTGTCTCTCGGCACCTGTAAACACTCTCGTTCACTCGAGAGGGAGTCTGGTGCGTGATAAACGTGTTGTTATGATTGATAGGCCTAACCTATATAACCTAAAACTCGTGACCTGAAGCAGTCTCTCAATGTCTGTGACACCAGAGCTCTCAGTTATTTTTAAATCTCCCCTTTCTCTCTCTCTCTCTCTCTCTCTCTCTATATATATATATATATATATATATATATATATATATATATATATATATATATATGTAAATTTTAGTAATATGCCCGTAACTAACTAATAATGAAAAACAGTTTATTTTAACAACAGTTACTATTTTCAACATAATCCCTTTATCATCTCATTTTACCGAATACTTTACAATTCAAACTAATCATTATTTAATCAAAATTTCAGATCAAAATTCATTTAATAATTGCGTTATCTTACACGCTGTTAATCTATCCTCGTAAAGGTATAGCAGCTTTTGTAAATTCAATAACCATGTGTCCTACATTATTGCACTCTACTAAACTCATTAATATGCATATTTCTCCCTTCTCTGTCTCTCCTTCAATCTCTCTCTTTTTATATATATATATATATATATATATATATATATATATATATATATATATATATATATATATATATATATATATATATATATATATATATATATATATATATATATATATATATATATATATATATATATATATAGTTGGATAGATGTGATCGTCTGGGACAAAGTTTGTCTGACGACAAAGTTTGTGAAACCCAGGATCACAAACTCACATCTATCCAAACAAATATGTTAGCTCTATCTCTGATATTGAGCGCTTTTAATAATATCATGAATATAATATATAAATAATTATACATATATATATTTATTTATATTTATATACACTTTCACACACACACACACACACACACACACACACACACACACACACACACATATATATATATATATATATATATATATATATATATATATATATATATATATATATATTCTTGAACGCAATCTCCAGGCATAAAATATAACATACCAGAAAAATACATATTATTTTTTATGGTGATATATATATATATATATATATATATATATATATATATATATATATATATATATATTATTTTTTACTTTTTAATTTTTTATTTTATTTAACTTTATTTTATTGATGTCAAATATTATAATTATTATTATTAATTTGAAATTGTGATGTCTAGTTTATAATGCAATGATGATTGTTTCACTATGGAAAATAACATGGATATCAATTCAATGTATCCATTTCCAATCTTATCACTACCTTCCTTACCCTGTATTTAGACTTAAAGAAAACATCTTTTTTTAGGTCAGGCTATGTTTAATTCTTTCTTTTCTTTTTTTCCCTCCTTGTCTTACTCTCTCCTTCTTTCTTCACTCTTTCTCCCTTCCTCCATTGTATCTCTTTCCCTCTCCCCTCAATTTTTTTTAAAACCTTATATTGAAATTTTTATTTTTCTTTCTTCCTACTTTAATATTATTTTTTTCTTTTCTTCTATTTTTTTTCTTACTCTCCCTTTTCTTTTCGTCTGAATAAATTGACTCCTTTTGTTAAAAAAAAACTTCAGTCTGAAGAGATGAATATTTGTATATTTATGAAATAAATTATAATCTAATAGATTTTTAAGGATCTTCTGTACTCCTTATATACATATAAAAATATATGTATATAAATATATATAAAGTACTTTCTGGTTTCTGCTGGTTGGTTTAAAATTCAACAACCACCATTAACATTTTAATTTTTTTCCTTTTTTTAGAACATTCTAAATTTTGATTGAAAAACCCTGTTTCTCTTCGTGTCCAGCGGAACTCCGAAGTAACGGATAAAATTTTAGCGCGTGTTTTTTCTGTATGACAGACATTAATTTTGAAAATCTCGCAAAAATAAAAATAATTGTCAGATTTTAATGAAACTTTCAAAAACTATTCACAAATGATGGAACAAATTATAAATGTTTTCCTTTATATATATATATATATGTGTGTGTGTGTGTGTGAGAGAGAGAGAGAAACAAACAGGTAGATAGACACTTTCTGCTTTCTGGTCGTCGGAACTGATAAGGTCATTTAATTTACACCCCCTCTTATTCTCAGAAGTTTCAACACATTTTTGTCAAACAGATTATTACACACACACACACACACACATACACACACATATATATATATATGTCGTCCCCCGTTGTCGTCGCTTTTTCTATGTTTAAAGTTCTTATATTCTCTCACCTTCTTCTGTGTATGTAACGTTCACTTATATATATATATATATATATATATATATATATATATATATATATATATATATATATATATTCAGATTTTGTCTGTGTATCAATGGATACTTTTAATTATTACGAAGTACTGATCTCAATATTGTCAATAATAAAGATGCAGTTATCATAGTTGTTGGCAACCTGCCTGAAAGAAGGAAAAACGAAATACTCGTAGAACTCAAAACGAGCCAGAGAACGATAGGTCAACACACTTTTGTCACGTGAGCCCTGTTTTGTTAGCTGAACGACACCGACTTCCGGTGATGGCCAGCCAGCCCGGCCAACCTCTTCCAGAATGTTTCCTTCATTTACAATGACATTTAAACTGTGTGGGTGAGCCAAATGGGTTGCCATGACAACTATGGGTACATACACACACGCACATGCACACATACACACAGAATATTATAATCACATATAAGCATGGTCATATGAGATTTTATTGACGGAGACAATTGTAAAGACATAGAAAAACCTCACGTAGATTCTTTTCCATTTTGATGATATGAGGTAATGCCAAATATTTAGGAAAATCAACAAATATATCTGCACATTTATGGGTACATATAAATATTTACTACGCTTAGACTCAGCGAGCGAAAGGTCACATGTATGGAGGATCAAGTTATGGTCAAACCTTCAATACAATCGTTTAGGTTCTACTCTATTGACACTTTAACCATTACTGCACATGGCAACTATGAATTAGATGCAGTTGTCCGCAATGTCATCTTTTGCGCAGGTTTAAAGATACGCTATAAATTACTTTTAAGTTTATTCAGTCCCTTCTTATGTAATCAGACAACTGTAGTACGTCACTTAGGGTGATTTTGAAACTGGGTAACATGAACTTTACGTCTAGGGTGTTCTAATAACTAACTAATAACTAATAACTAAGGGTGTTCTAATAACTTAGATCGATTTTAAATGTGAATTATGTTTAAGAGTCTAATGATTTTTTTCTTTTTTTTCAGATTTAACAACCTGGGAAGATTAGCAATCAAACAACGAGTTAAAGTTATCGAAACCTATAACAAAATGGACATTCAAACATAATTTGAATAAGAATTTCCCATGTCTCTCGAAACAGCGAAGTCAATTGGCCACCACCATCATGCGACTTGACGCCTTTAGATTTCTTCCTTTGGGGTCATCTCAAAAGTAACGTCAATGCCAACAATCCAACAACAATTCAACAACTGAAGGATTAGATAATAAGACATATTGGTGAGATCGAGGAGTAACTATGCAGAGACGTCATCAAATATTTTGACCATCGAGTGGAGGTGTGTCGCTGAAGACTTGGCGGATATTTGGGTGATATTATTTTTCACACATAATTGCCATGAATTAAATAACATGATCCAATAGAGAAATAAATAAATTATCACCAATACTAATGATATATTTACTGTTGACTTTGATCCGTTTTAATGAAACACCCTTTATATCTTCTCCTTCTTATTTGATAACTAGAAAATTCATTGTTGAACAAAAAATTACTAGTCATAAAAAAAGATATTTTGCAGAAATCAGTAATGAAGAATCATAAGATACCGTATATACTCGTGTAAAAGTCTACTAGTATAGTGCGATCCAATAAATCTTTTATGAAAAACCTGATTTTATTCACATTGCTTGTGTATAATGCCACCCCAGCTTCTGAGTAAGGCTAGTACGTCTACCGTGTTCAAATAGTACAGTAATGGGCATCAACCAGAACACATTTTATAAAAATAAATTGTCTTCATTCTTTTTTTGTACAAAGCTAGCTCCAAATGGTGACAAAAACCACATACCGGAAAACATCGGTGAAGTATTAGGTAGCGGCTTGGATTGAGGAATCGGGGAGCCGAGTTCCAAGTCCATTACATTCATTTATGTGCTAATACCCTTGGGAAAGGTATGAATCCTCTTCTCCTTCCCTCAGCTATGAGTAAATAGCAGGACAGAGCGGGTTCTATAGCATTGGATGGCAACTGGTCTACCGCAGAGAGAAATGGCAATCTAATGCGGGAAAAAATCTGCCTCGTTAGTCATGTATCGAAAGATACATGATCGCCTAAGCGTGTATCACGCATAGCACGTAAATGACTGGCATTTGTTTTCGTTCATGCCTGACTACGGTAGCTCCTTTACTCTGAGCCTGCCTCCTACGTAGCCTCCCTTTTTGTCGCTACATACAACAGGTCAACGACAATGCATGATTTTTAACCTCTTCAAAAGAATTACCTGTGTATATATTTTTTTTGCGTAAAAAACTGATCATAAAACTCACACTACACTCGAGTATATCCGATGATTCAGCTTCTCAACATAAAAGAGATCTATTTAGTCAAGGTTATTCTTTGTATTTGTTAGGATTCAAAGAGTTCTTTAGTAAGAATTGCTGTGCGAGAACACCTTTGTTTATGTGTATGCAAATATTAT